GAATGTTTTAGGCATCAGGGCATCCCAGGGGGCATCTTCCAGGGACCCCTCCTACACCCTGCCCCCTCCTTCACCCTGCCCCGCCCTGGCTCTCTCGTCAGAAATTGCAGTTGCTTGGACAGCGGGGCTGACCCAGGACAAGTGCATCTATTAGGCTGGTCTTCGGGGTGCTGGGGTGGGGGCAGGGATGCTTCAGGGATAGGAAGGAGAGGTCTGTGCATTCCAGAAGTACAGAGGAACCTGGTGCCGGCCGCAGTCAACCCTGATGTGATGATCTGTCCACCAACCCTCTTTGATGTCGTGGTGCTGCCTGCTGTCTTTGGCCAGGTAAGCTCATGGCCTGGGCTCCTGGGGTCCCCTCACTGGGCCTGCCCGCTGCCTGCAGGAAGAGGAGCCTACGGGCCAGTACTATCCTTGGCTCCCCCTTCGAGGTCATGGGTTCCAAGACCATTCCTGGGTTCCACCACTGCCAAGCATCAATGGGCATAGGAGCTGCTGGGGTTTTCTAGACTAAGACCCTTTCTTATCCCTGTGTTCCCCCCTGCAGTGGGGCTGCAGGAGTCGGCCTCAGTCTCTGCTCTAGGAGCCTGCCCTACCTTTCCCTGGCAGCCCCACACCTGCCCTGGAAGACCCCCCACACCCACTGGCTCTGATTCACCATAGAGCAGCCAGGGGCCCCGTTGCTCACACCCTCTGGCCTGAGGATGACTGGCTCTGTGGTTGAGTTCGGAGCGTCAGGGAGGGGGTGGGTCTTGCCCTCAGCAGCCCCCATCCCCACTCTGACCCCTTTTCAGTCTTCCTCCTCTTGTGGGCGGTACCCTGGTGCCCTCCCAGCTCCTCATAGCAGATGACTGTCTAAGTATCTAAGAATCAGTTTTTTAAATACCGACCTTGGATTGCTTCCTGATTTTTTCATACCCCCAAAGGCCAGCGTTTCTCTTAGGACTGACAGTCTCTCCAGCCCTACTGGACCAGACCAGGCAGACATAAGCGTGCCCCTTCCCCAGTCCTCTTTGGGGCAGGCTTTTGTCCCCTTCGTGCCACCTGGCAGCAGGACCACACTTTGGTGTCAGGAGGGGCAGCAGAGACTGCGGACCCCCGAGCTGTGCCTAAGTCCTCTGTGTGGTCTAGCTGTGTGTGCTGGGGGAGGCTCTTGGCCACCATTTCCCCCTCTGTAAACAAGATGGATATCTGTGGCATGGAGGGCGGGAGGCCGGTGTCAGTGCCAAGCACTTGGAGCAGGGCCTGAGTGAGCATGGATGTGGGAGCAGGGGTGTTCCTCGACTTTATGCACCTTGGGGATGGGAGTGGGGCTCCCTCTGTGGGTTGACAAGGCATTGCTTTCCCCACTCCACCTCTGTCCCAGCCCTGCAAGTCCAGTCCTTGGGGGTGTAGGAGGGAAGAAGCCCCTGGCTGTGAGGCCTTGGGCTGAACCCTGGCCCTCTCTGGCTCTGAGTTCCTGGGAAAGTCGGTGGTGTTGGAACTCCGGATTCATTCCTCAGCGGTGAGGCACTGTCTGTGGAAGCCATGGGGCAAGGTGAAGGTGAGGAGAGGAGAGGCTTGGAGTTTGGGTTTCAGCAGAGGGATCAGCAGCGTGAGGGGTCACCTGTGTGTAGAGGAAAGGGAGTGAAGGCCAGGAGTGAGGAATGAGTCTGAGTGCACCCAGGATGGTGCTGCATCTCCTCCCACATCCACCTGGCCCTGGTCGAGGGAGAAGAAAGGCCGCAAGACAAAGGGGAAACTGAGTTGGGTCTACACATGTCCTTCCAGGACCTGGAGGTGCCACTGTCTGGCCATAAAGCAGTGGGAAGTTGGAGAAGGAAGATTCCCTCCCCACACCACCTGTTCTCTGTCCCAGGTCTCCTGGCCCCCTGTGCACCTAAGTTCAGTCTCTGTCGGCCCCCAGCATCATTTCCAGGCAGCTGTGAACAGGCTAGGGGTAGGTGGAGCCTGCTTGGGGGAGTCTGCTTGACTGCCTGGGCCACTGCCCACAGTAGTGGGGAGCTTTTCTGGCACTCTGGCTGCACAACCCAGGGCTGCCAATGACAGCCCCCAGGGAGTGTTTGCAGAAGGCCTTGGCAGTGGGGGCGGACTCCACCAAGAACAAACACCTGGCATGAGGTCAGGGAGAACCACCCTCCACTTACCTGTCTGGAGTGTCCTCCGTACCGCACCGTGCGAGTCTACACTCCCAGGCTGAACACCCTGAGGGAGGCCCTCCACTTTAGCACCTTGACAAGAAGGGCAGGGACACCGGGATCAGGCCCAGCCCCCTGGCCCCAAATCCTGCAACTCCAGCTGGGTGCTGAGGAGATGCTGTGCTTGGGTGGGGGAAACAGGGGTGTAAAGGGGCCTGCTCACCCCTCAGCTTGGCTCAAAGGCTCAAGGC